TGTTCTACCGTAAAGTGCCCAACTTCGTGTGCAGGTCGTCAGTGGCCCCCATCCCCCCCAAAAAAATTTGCTAACTTCCCCCTTCCATGTTAGCTTGTTCGAAATAGTGCTACACCTGTAGTCAAGTTATGTATGGCTGAAAATGGCCAGTTGCTTCTTTTATTTATGTACGTAAAAAAAAATCTCTCGTCTAAATTCCCCCCCCCCAAGCTTTAAGTGGGCGCATCGTGCTCCCACATTCCCCCCTGATGGGGGCCCCTGCAGGTCGTCGGGCTACAGAAGCGGGGGTGCCATCCCCTCTGTAGAGGATCAAAATTGTGATGGCAAGTCTTCGGATCATCTTCAGGGATGTTTAACAGACCGTTGCCAATAGCCCATTGTGCAGCTCTAGTGCGACGTAAATGAACTACAACAATAACAAAACAAATTCTTAAGTAGTTTATTTGAAGGCGAGGTTATGATAGTTTGATTAAATTCACCACTTCCTAGCTCAATATAAATATTATATACTTACAATTAGAACACAAGTAAGACTCAAGCAAAACATTGCATAAAAAGTTAAGAGAAAAGAGATCCTCTGTAAAATAGTGGGTATCAGCGTGATGTTAGAGGGGTTCGTGATGTTAGAGGGGTTATTGCGTGTCGTTCATTCTCATCAGATATGGATGCGTCCAGAATCACTGGTCAAACTAAAACTGCTCTTATCTGAAAAGAGTACTCAACCCTTCTGCGCATCTGTCAAGTTGTGTTCCCGACACCAAATTAAACGGCTTCTCCGATGAACTGCAATTTATTGAACACACTGTACTAACCATCCTGCAAATAGACCACCCTTGTTCAGTCTCCTGGTCACTGTAAAACGCGATATCGGGCATCCAGTACTTTACTGTGTGAGTTTGTCTAATTCTGCACTTTTTTCACAGTATTTTGCTTTAATCTATGTAGTACAAAGTATAACCTATCCTTCTTTTGGCAATTTTAAACAGTCACTAACTGTCTAACTGAACACAAAACTACAGAAAAATTGATGAAATTTGTATGTGTGTCTAAGACTTTGTAGGTATATTAAGTAATGGTTCTTGAGTCTTTTGAATGCCCATCTATATTAAATTTACTTTATAATAATTAAAGGTATTATTTCAGTTTAATTCAAAAAATAAAATCAATTTTAAACTTATAACTTAATATGTGATTACAATATATGATTAAATCATGGTTGATAATTTATTTGTAATTCTAAGCTTGTTTGAACTTTCAGTTTAAATTAACCAATTTAAAGTGTAATAACAATACAAAGAAATAGCAAAAAACATTTAGTTTCCTCGTAGAAATATTTCGATTTTATTCTTATATTTCTAAAATAATATAAAGCTATGACTAGACATTTTAGATTTAAATTTAACAAAAAAAATTTTTATTAACATCTCACGTTTTCCACTTCTTTACATCTTCCTTCTATCATAGATTAAAAATACTTAAAGATGAAAGAGTTTTTGTTATAAATTTAACTACATTCTTTTGTTTCCGTTTTGCTAAAATAATTCAAAACTTAAAATACATTTGGCAAATTTTAATTACAGACAAAATACATATTTTGAAAGTTATACCACAGTAGAATAGCATTTACTTCTTGAATACAAAATCTATATAATTATTAGTTATGTGCAGTGAGCAAAAAAAAAAAATTTAACACCCTGATTAACTTATGATCAAATGATGGAATTTTCATTGGACTCAATTGTAATGGTTCACCGGGGTGATCTCAAATATACTACATATTAAGTTAGAATAGACAATATTTCCAGTTACAAAATCTAACACAAAAATTTCCTTTCTCCGAGTAATCATACTTTTTAGCCGAATCAACAGCAATCTGGTAAATATGGACACGAGAGCAGTTAAAAGTTTAGCCCACTCGGCGTTAATTTTAGCTTTTAGGTACCCTCGCTGAATCCACGGTATGATCGAGAAATGTGGAGCATAGAATTGTCAGGCACAGGCATACAATTTTAAACCAAATTTATATGTTGTTTATTCATGAAGCGCTTTTAATTTATGTATAACATAAGTGAATCATAATACATTAGTAAATTTAAGCTCATATTTGTTTCAATCTATGTTTCTTAAGGAAAAAACAAAACAAAAATTATTTGTAACATTTAGAAAATCCTTAGATATGAGAGGGCCCTATGTGACATAGGCTATGCCTGTCAGGTCTTATGATAAATCAGGCACTGGCCATATCCCAAAAAAATTTGAATAGTTTCAGATAAATAGACTTTTAAAGAGGTCAAATATTTAAAATTTGATTTCTCAGGACCAATTTTGACCAAATTCAATTAGACCAATCTTGTTCAAAGATTATATTTTGCCATATTAAGATGATAAAAAAATTAGTATATCTTACAATTCAAAACTTTTTTCAACTATAATTAAATAAAATAATAACTAATATTAAAAATTATTTTTGTTGAGGAATTATCTTTAGATAAATTAATTTTATAATTGTGTGATAAAATTTTTCAATTCACCTACACAGTTCTTGAGATATGAGGAAAGAAGCAAAAAATAAAATTAACATTAAGGGGTTCAAATTTTCGACCACTATCCTGAACGAAGTATGTAGACAATATTTTTCAGATTGTGGCTATCTTCTATACTTCGGGGGTAAAAAGAATAAGAAAGTATAGAAAGATATAGAAATATACTTTATATAGAAATATAGAGCAAAGAAATTATAGAAAAATTAGAAAGTATATCAAAAGGTCATCAATGAGCCAGCAAAGTATGATCATTGTTGGGACAATGATCACAAATCTAGGTAATTTTTACCAAACTTCCTTTCGCACCTTGGTGGATACGCATTGAATTTATGTTAAAAAATTATTAAAATTTCAAAGAATTAACTTACAAACAGGGTTCATGATTTTTTTGATTTAAATTGGATTATTTTTATTTAAATCAGATTTTTTTTTTATTCAAACACATTGTAAGAACTTTAATTTATGATTAAAAATACTTTATAAATGCTTAATCAAAATTAAATTAATATTAAGATAATATTACAGAAACTCTAACTTACTAATATAATTTTTCATTATAATACATAGCTTTGAATGCATAGCAACCATTTTGAAACAAATGCATGATTGAAATTTGAAGACTAGATGAAATAGAGAATTTAATGAAAGGGGTCTGTCTGGGTTTTTCTGAGAGATATTTATTTTGTGAAATTTTAGACATAATTTGAGAAAATTTATTCGTTTCTTACGAAACACAAAAATAAAATTTTTAAAAAATTTATTTTTTTCCTAAAGTTGAATTTGTGTAGGTACCCTAAGCATTAGCAAATTTGGCTTGGACAGACTCTTTATTTATTAAATTAAAGTTTCAATTTGCAAACCATAATTTTAATTTAAAATTGTGTTTTTTTTTCTCTTGATTTTTAATCTGACAAAATAAATGTAAGAGATGCAGTCATTCATCAAAAAATAAATATTTAATCTATATATTTTTATATTAAAATATTCATTTTTTAATTCTATATTTAAATAGATCAGCTAAGAAAATTTTTAAAAAAATCTATGCACTCATTGGAATTTTTTTTCACAAAATTTCTTTATAGGAAATCTGATAATGTCAAAGATTCTGTAAACATATTATGAGAAATAAACACAAGTTACCAGTTAATAACTCTATTGCCTCAAATAAAGTTTAAAAGGGAAGAATGACACTATATCAGGAAAAAATATCTGAATTCATTAGCCTTTTTCTTCTTTTTTTTTTCTATTTTTGGCATATTAGGGTAATTTCTTTTTAATATAACCTCGAGCTTTAGAAATATACATTTTCCACCAATAAAATATAATGTAGATTTTAATTCCATGCCATTTCAATCAAAAGGTAGAATTTTAATTAAGATTATTTGTATTTTCCTTTCGAAATTCATGTCTATTAATTACTTTCTATAGCTATGCGAGTCTATATTAAGACAGCATTAAATGTGTACTTTAATCTGTACTTTCAATCACAAGAATCAAAAGATTTTTTTAAAATGTAATTTCAAATGTGTTAGAATTTAACACACACCAAGAAAGAAAGTAATTTCATTAACTAAAATTAATTAACACAGCAATTTATTTAAAATAAATTTTAAAACTAAGAAAAGAAAATAATAAAAGTATCAATACTTTAAAACACTGTTTTTTAACTTTTAAAATCAATATATATATTGAAAAAAAAAAATTTTTTTTAAATCAATGATTTTTTTAAAAAAAATCATTTGATTTAAATCATGATTTAAATCGTGATTTAAATCGTGATTCAAATCAAACTGATTTAAATCAACGAACCCTGCTTACAAAAGCAATAAATTTAAAAAATTCTCTGATGAAATGCCAAAAACAATAAGAAAACATTAGGTACAATTTTAACTATTTCTGAATTTTTTTTCCTAGGAAATCAAGACTCCAAAGTACTGATTTTTTCTTTTTTTTGCTATTTGGTAGGTATAAGACAGTAAATTTTAAATCTAGTCGAATCAGAATTTCTTTTTTTGGCAATATTTTATTCTTTTTAAAAAGACATAATATAAATTACCTCTTTATTATACAATTTTAAGAAAAAATACTCTAAACAGACATTTATATAAATTTTTACAAATAGTTTTCCTTTAAAACTTCTACAGTTTTATACGGAAAAAAACGTAATTTTATAAAAAATATTTGATGATAAGATTAAAACTATTGTTAGTTCGGGTTGTATTGTTAGAAAAGAACTTTTATTTATTCTGTTGATTTCTTTCTTAACTAATGAAACATTGTATAATTTATTAGACAAATTCTATGTACGTATATCATTTAACAGCTATTAGGTTCAGATATTTCAAAGATATTTGCCCCCTTCTCTTTTATAAAAAAAAAATATTATTTTTAATAAAATATTATTTTTTTAGAAAACAAGTTTTAAAAGAACGAATGAATAATTCATTTTTCAAGATGTTAGTCAACTAAGAGCACACTTTAATTTTTAAGTAACGAAACTGCAAAAATACAAAATTATTCTAAAAAGACTTTTACATTCAACTTTTAAGTAGACATTAAGTAATAACTGAATTTTAATAAGCTCATGTATTGATACAATGTACTTATTATACACAAAAAATGTAAATATCTATCACAACCAAATAAAACAATTATGCATATGAAGTTTTTATAAATTACTTTCTTCAATGATGACAAATAAGATCTCGGTAAGTAGCATACATACAATATTCAAAATTAACAATCATTGATAATTCCATGCCACAAAACCTTACAGAATTTTTCTACTTGTGATCTGATAAGAAAGAAATCGTTTAAAATCTGGATCTGGTTTATATTATTTCCACTAATTAAAGAAGTTCACTATTGTAGAGAATTCTTTTAAATAATTTCCTATTGTAATACAGAATTTAATTGTCATCGTAAACTAAATGCCAAACTGCAATACATTAACTATGAGACCATATAAAAATATTTGATACAATTCTATAGCAGTTTTTCGAAGAAGAAAAAAATTAATATGGCAGATAAAATTGACATTTTCTTCTATATATGAACAAAAGAAACAGTAAAAATGATGTACAGACAAATTTGCTCTCTTAATCAAATACAGAATAAAAGGATGTTATGCACTACCCAAAATGCAAAATTTTTAGTGACGAAAAAAAAAAAGATTAACAACATAAATAATTCCAAAACAAAACCATTAAAGGGGATATTTCTGTATCGTGATCTGCTTCGCCAACTACAATCGCCAACGTGCCAAATAGATTTTAAACTTGTATCCAAAAAACATGTAGATGTTTGCTACGATTTATACCTTTCAAGTTGGTCCCATTCCATGATGACTTTTTTAGTTTCCCGAGGGACACTGCCTGGAAGTTTCCAAGACCTGACGATTATTTTACCTCAGATCACGATGCAGAAATCTCCCCCCATTACGCACAAATCCTTTAAAAAAATTTGAAAGGGAGCTTTTGATAATAAAAAATCATTACCAGTGCTGATAATGAAAACTTTGATACACAAAATCAAATATAAAAATAAATCTTCTAAACCTTTCATATTGTTGCACAATAATTAAACTCAGGAAAATTTTTTAGTGTCTTGTAGTTTCCAAATACCAGTTTGATATTTAATCCAAATCATCAGCAAATCAATACCCATTTGTAACCAACTCCAAAAAGGAACTAATTTTGAACCATCAATTTCTGTCCAATTTACAGCAACTTCTTTTATGGCCATAGTTTTTTTTTCAGCTATGTAGAGCAACTCTACATCAAAAGCCCAACGTTCTACGTGAAGTATTGCAAACAAAATGATTCCAGCTTCGCGAGTAAACATTTTAAATCCACATTGAGTATCCCTAACAGAGCGAACTGCAAATAACCATACCAAGAAATGGAAACCATACATTAAAATTGTTCGGAAAAATGACCGTGATGCTATAGCTTCTTTCTCAAGATGAGCTCTTGAGCCTACAACAATAGAATAAATGTTTTCTACAGTAGATTGCCTCATTTCGCTCTCCAATTTTTCAAAATCTTCGAACTTTGTTGCACCATCGGCATCAGCGAACAGCAAATATCTCCCTCGAGCATACAGCATACCAAGTCTAACAGCACCACCTTTACCACGATTTTTAACTAAGGTTAAAACTCTACACTTATCAGATCCATACTTTTTACTATATTCCAGACCAATTTCGGAGGTTTTATCCAAACTCCCATCATCAACAATGATAACTTCATATGAGAATTGCCGGTCTCTACGAGAGCGATTTTCCAGAAATTCCATACATTCATCTAACATCGGGGGAAGTCGATCTTGCTCATTGTAAGCAGGAACGATTACTGATAAATATAAGGAATATTCATCGAAGAGACCAGGAAATGGTTTTTTTGTTGGAACAGCAGAAGAAAAATCCATGTAATATTTCTCTTCATCGTAACGAATAATAGCCGGCATATTGTTGCGAGTAAGCTTTCTAAATATAAATAAAATGACAAAAATAACTATGAAACTGATCATAAAAATAATCATATCGGTAGAAAACAAAAGCATTTTGAGTTTATTTAATAAATAATATTAGATTTATCATCGCCGATGTTAGCTGACGTGTTTACAAAATTGACACTTAATCATTGTAACGCGGTTATAGTTAATAAAAATGTAAACATTATTATTACGTCTTTTATGGCTTCTTTTTGCCCGGAAAGGAACCAAGTTGTCTGAGCAAACTTTTATTTGGCTGAAATTTACACCACAGGTGAAAAATTCGCTCGCAAAGAAAACGGTCCCCACCGATTGATACGATAATGTGAATGTTATGAAAATGGTCCCTGTCAACTTTTAAAAGAGCTATTTCCTTTACAGAAAAAGAAAGGGAAGTTAGGAATTGAAGAAATATAAGAAAACCGCTGGAGGGGAGGAGCTGTCAGTTGTTTGTCTAAGATAGGTACTCTGACCGCCACTGAGTCTGCGTCAGTCTGGTGCTATGGAAACAAGAAGAGGGCATTTTAGGGAGAGTAGCTTCGATGAAGAGGTCTCCTGTTCTCTCGCCGAAACCAGTCTTAAAGAGGGACTCCGTACCCCTACTTAAAATAATCATACCTCGTTACCATAGTCACCGACACAGCTCCAGACGAATGTCTGGCAGAGTACCTATCTTAGACAAACAGTATGTCTCCCTCGCTAATTTTAACATTTCACATATTTCAAACAAATAAATAAAATTTTCATAAATTAAATTTAAAAACAAGAAATATATTTTCCCAAGCTGCATTATGCAGATGATATATGCACAAAGTTGATAGATGCAAAGCAAAATTAGTAATTCCTCTTCGCAAAACTTCATTTTTTTTTTGTTGAAAAATTTCACCATAAGTTATAATAATTTTGACTGCACATGAAACGAGATACTCTTACAGGAAAATTTTAATCGTGGCGCTCTTAAGAAATGCACAGTCTTAGCGCTTTAAATAAGTTTAACTAAATTTCCCCATAAAATCTTTATTTTCTACGTATATTTTGTAAACATCAAGTGTTTCGAGTCTATTTTCTTTTATACAACAAAACTACTAAGTTTCAGAAGTGTGTGAAAATAAAAAAGTGAAATTATACAGGAAATGGTGATTTTGCAACACTGCACTAGTAACCAGTTTTCTTGCTTTTATAATACATGATTTTCATCATTATTTTTAATCCACAGTTACTTTAAATTATCCACTACCTTCACTGACACTGTTTTTTATGTGATTCATTTATTAAGATACTTAAATTTCCATTATAGAAATTTTTAAAAATTGCATTATAATTTAAGATCTCCTAATTGTATAGATACATAATAATTATAATAAATAGATAAAATGAAACTAAAAAGTGCTTTAAGAGATAAAAAATTGTTATTTTATTAAATTTTTTTATATTCAAAAGTGGTAAATTTTTCGAAACAAAGTCGAATGCTACTAATTCTCTGAGCCTGACCATTTCTATGAACAGTTTAATGAAAGAGTCATACCTTAATTCTTATAATTGGGTATAATATGAAAAAAACACAACTAGAAATAACATTTACCATTTAGTTTAATTTATAAGCTGAGTTTTAAATATGTTTACTAAATTCGTAAACTTAGATAAAACAACAAAATTAATTATTTCAAAAGGAACTAGACTAATACAATTCCAACCTGCCGAGTAGCGACTTATAACAACACACTTCATTTAATGTTTACTTGTTGCTAGAAATCAGGTTCGCAGAAAATGCTGTTTACTAGTTAAATTTAGTAGGAATAACACGACCTGTGACATAGGCTATAGTATACCCAATTGGAACAATTCAGGAAAAATTGCCAGAGGAATATAGGTGACAAGGCTTACCAAAGAAAATTATTAAATTCTAGTTAAATAAATACTTCTAAAGAATTTCACTGTATTTGGTAAAGCAGTTTCAAACATGCATGTTTGTAACGGTTTTGATGCGTCATATCCACTTCTTAAACTCAGCACAGCTTAATTTAAATATTTGACAGAACCTTTTATTAATAAGAATTTACATTGATATTTTGATGGTGGAACTAACTCCAAATATAAAAAAGTTTTTCTCCATTAGCTCTACCTTTAAAAATTAAATTTCATATTCTAACCACATGTCAAATGTGAAGGAGCTATGTATATATGCATTCACATATAATTCATACATGCACTGCATGTATAATTATACATGCTTGTTTCGAACAAAGTAAATTAGATTTCTTTTAATTAGATTTTACACCAGTCAAATAAGTTTAAAATTTTATCAGAATGAAACTAATGCTTGTGTGATTCACATCTCACCCAAATAAACCTTAAAAGAAACAACAAATAGAATAAGAGCTTGAAGTCATTAAAAGTGAACAGTATAAAAAATGCTCAAGAAATATTTTTTCGAAAAAAAAATATACTAAAACAAATAAAAAGAGTCATAACAGTTGAAATAAATTTAAAACGTAATATTTTTATTAAAATTCATAGGTGGAACAATTCCCTAAGCAAAGTCATTTAGTAAACTCAAACTGCCATCAACACAATGTTCACAAATTGGCTGCTTTATTTTTGTAATTTGTAAACTTTTTAAAAAGGCCATAAGAAAGGCTGAAGTAGTATGGTTATTTCCCACAATCCTTATTTGCACAATTCCAAAAATACCAAATGAATAGAAAATGTTTAAATGATACAGAAAATAGTGGATTCAAAAATTCATCTCATGCAAGCATATAAAAATTATAAAAAATAATCGGCCGAATATTAATTTCAGAAATAAAATGTCTAGACTTTTCCAGATATTTCAACACCCAATTTTATCTATGCACTGATATTTAAAGTCAGAAAAACGCTTAGGTATGTTAATGCAATTTTCTAGCTTTTTGTAGTTTGTTAGAATGCAGGTATTGTAGACTGTAGTTTTTCCTGACATTCAGTCAAAATCAAATTCTCTGACAAATCCAGGTTTCCCCTTAACTATGGTAACCCTGTATGTTTATTATCCAAAAGAAAGTAATAAAACATGCTCCAAAATGTGTTTGAAGTATATAAAGCTTTTATTTTGTTCATTAAAGTGCAATTATACAGAAGCGCATGCACTATTTCACATGCTTCACACAGAATAGAAATATATACAATCAAATCTACAAAGATAATAAGTAGGTACAATTTTAGCACTAACAACAAATTCACAACTCCAAAAAGAGTGCCAAAATTGGAACAATACTGTACAACATTAAATTAATTTAAATTATCAACAGATGAAATTCTCAAAAAGCTATTAATGGTGGGATTAGTGGAGGTTTGAAGAAGAGTCCACAACTTCTTTCAATAAATAAAAAGTTATATTACAGAGTTTAAATAGACAAGTAGAATAGTTCATGTTTGAAGTATTTTTTTTTTTCTTTCTTTGCAGTCAACTATCTCACATTAATATTTTATTTACAAAATCCATTAACTTGTTCCTAACCACCAGTTTAACACCTTTTATTACAATATTTGATTCACTTTGTTTCCCGATTGTTAAAGTGAAAAATATTTCTCAACAAAGCTATGATGAACTACTATACATATTTGTTAAATGTATGAGCTTCAATATATTTACCCCATATAGAACAATAGAAAACCAATAAGTTGGTGAATTATATTTACAATATAACATCAAGAAATTCATCACCTAGACACACCAGCAATAAGCCAGATAGTGCAACTGAGATAAAAAGGATTAACTAGTTTGCTAAAAGAGTGAAAAATATCTGACACAAACACCTCACAAATGAAACATACAATGACATACATATACACCAAAGATAGGCAGATATTTTTCACTAACAATTTATCACAGGAAAAAAAAGAGCTAACAGGAATAGAAAAATTAAATTAGACATATTTGTATTAAACTGAGTTCTCTTAATTGCAAGTAAAAATAACCATATTACATTTAAGCAAAATGAAAAATACTTTTCCATTAAATTTGGTAAAAAAATAGGCTGTAAAAAAGAGAAAAAAACTTAAAATAATCGAATATAGTAAATCCTCGATAATCACAGAAGTTTTACACACAACAAAGAAAATTTAGGAATGAAATTTTAAAAGTTAACATAAGCTAATTATTTTTATAGTTCATTGCTATTGTTCATAATAATTTAATTTCCAATTTAAAAAATTCATTTAATTTTCTGTAAGAATAAAAGTTAAAAATTCCCTTACATTTAGTAAAAGTTTTAATGCTAAAAAAAATGTCATACCAGTCATAATACATATTTGGCAGACAAAGAAGTGAAGCAAAAATAACTTATTTAAAACAACACATACACACAATATTTTTAAATTGTGATGTCATTTAAACAATGATATGCTTAATGAAATTTAGTTTTTAACATGATGGAATTATTATTTCAACAAGAAAAAAGATATAATATAAATAATAAATTTAATACAAATAAATTATAAACAATAAATATAATTTTAATAATCCGATAACAATCAGCATTTGCAACATAAACACAATAATTTAAAAACTGAAAAAACTTTCAAGCAATCTGATTAAGATGCTAATTTCGAAATTTATGTTTGTTCAAAAGGGGGGGAAATCATTTGTACTTGATCAAAATTAAGTTATTTCACACACATATTTGCTTTTGAATCATATTTTCATAATATAATATAGGATATCCTGTCATAACTTAATATAAGTTGTGTAAAAAAAGGAAGTGCTGCTGTTAGGTTTTCAAAGATCAGTGGTAAAATCTTACATGAATCTAAGAACAAATAATAGTAATTAAAACTAAAGAAAAAGAAAAAGAAAGAGGAGGCATAAAATTTTGAAGGCAAAATAACAATACAAAATAATGTAGAGTAACACACAAAACAATACAAAAATTTTAATAACAATGTAGTATAAAGACATTATAAGATGTGATTTTTTTTTTCTTTTCAAAATTTCGATGAGTTTTTACACAACAATTAGTAAACTATGAACTGTACCATACTCTATTTCAGTGAGTTGTTAGAAAAGTGCCATCAATATGCAAGATCAATAAACATCAATCAATTTACAGAGTGTAGAGAAAGGATTTTGTATTAGGGCAAAAGTTTTTCGGGGGGAAATTGAAATTTTTGGACATTATTTCAGATAAGCTCTCAAAT